TCGACGCGCCGCCCAAGGTCAACGGCCGTACCACCCAAGCTAAACTGACGCTCCCGTCAATGGTTCTTAAAAACTGGTGCCGCACCCGGTTTGACAAAAACATACAGAATAAAATAATAATAAAAAGGACAAAAATAAGCCCTTGACGCCGCGCAAACCTAGACCTCTGTGGCCCACACCGCGCCGTCGACATTCCACGCCCGCCACACTCCCTCAATCAAACACGCGGAACCCTGGTCCTCGTTTCTATTCCTCGCATACTCCGCTGACCGCACAAAGTTGCACGGTTGCTGTCGACGCTGTCCTCCGTACGTACGCACAAATCACAGACAAGCACCTCAACCAACGAGGCATAACCTTTTTAATCCGTGCTTAATCAGAAGAAGATCTTCGGCCGGCGACCACGCCGACTCTTCAACCAGCAACAAATATGAAGATCGCGCGCGCCTAAAAAATTCGCACGCCGACACACTCTCTATTCTAGCCAACCATCCGGTCAGCCTTGACCACAAACGTAGCAGCGCCTCGCGCGGTATACTTTAGGCCGTTTAATCCAAACTTAATTTCTGTCACTTACAAAAACCAGGGCGGATACCCTTGTAAGGGTATTCGCGTCGACAACTCGTTTCCATTGTCCTGACGTTAGGACGCCGGTATACTGGACCTACGTACTACAGCACAAGTTCCAACGACCCTCTCAAACCGTCCCCTCCCTCTTGCCCTAGACAAATGCCGGCTTCTCGTTGAGTGCCCCTGTTAGGCTCTTCCTCATAAGTAAAGCCCTCCCCAGGGGCGCGGGCCTTAGACGAGACCTTTAGAAGACATTCTTGCCTCCCTCTCGAAAATCCTCACAATCAAGCACACATACACATATACACTAAAATCTCATCTCGGCTCCTTCTGCAGTCTAGTAGAGAAATGCTAGGTCTTCATCTTGGCCCACCATAGTCTGGTTGATCGAGCCAGATCTACGGCCTACCGCATTGTTGCTTTAGCGGTAGTTCCTTCGTTGGTTATGCAACGATAGGTATTCTCCTGATAAGCATTCAATTAGGACTCTTGAAAGACTCGACTCACACTCCCCGCCATCCCACCAGAGTAATTCCCTGGGGCGTGCATAACCCCTTAAACTCTTACTCCGTTGGTAGACGTGGGTCCGCAGCCAGGTTGTGCTGGCTTGCAGCCATCCAATAGGGGTTGAGCCCTAGAGGTACTAACCTTTACCGTTTAGCTTGGTATTCCTCAATATGGCTTAGGATTAGCACAAGTGTCTAGACGCTGCGTCGCAAAACAGACCACAGGCCCACTGCGGGATTACGCAAGGGTCTGTCTCACTTTAAAGGCGTTTACCAGCTCCCTACGGGACAACATAGAAAGCACGGTCCCTTTTCACAATCACAAACGAATTAACCGCTAGGCTCACACAAGGCCGTGGTCCACTGACTTGATCAGAGACAGCAGATCATACATCCCATGACATCTCAATGCACTGACTTGCGACCTTCTCAGTTCCATCAATGATCCAAACTGTAATTCTGGTTCTTCTCGTCAGACTTTATCAATTCAAACACTGCTTACCATGCCCTTAAATCTATTAACCACCTTTCACACGAAGGAGGTCTTTCTCAATAGGTTTCCCAGTCATCCCTCTCTTTCTAGGATGGGCTATCACGCGACCTTTTTTTAAAACACCTTTCCTTTGAAGATGAGTCTTCCGACAAACAACACTACCACCTCCCTTAATCTGGAGGGGTCTCAACCATAAAAYAACTCAAACTGAGAGGCCYWCTTATGGGTCCTCTCCACAACTCAACCACGAAACAACTCAAACCGAGGGACCTTCTTATGGACCCTCTTCGCAACTCAACTGTAAAACATCCRGCATGGTAAGTATTCGAGTCTCAGCGACTCACAAAATTCMTTTAGGATCCTCACACTCCTGTTACAAAACAACCGCACTGCCTYCCCTTATACTCRGYCCTCTSATCTGCCCATAGGCAGATCGCACGAGTATACCGAAGAGTAGACRGTATTCACATTCAYGTAATACAAGAYRTATGAGATGTATCCCACACATCTCGCACACAAAGCCGTCATACATTGGGATAAAGCCACACATGCGAGAGTGTTTGTGATCGTCACAAAATAAGTCACACAGAGTCTGAAGTTAAAATACACTCGGAAGCAAAATATCTCCCTCAAAAATCCAGTACAAACACKCAACCCATCAYCCCACTCATCTGATCAGGACTCATGTCCTCAATGTACAACTCGTAGAATATACTCAGGGGTAGAATGTCTGCTTTRAAACAACASGAATACTCTKTCCACTGTCCCACTTTGCCAAGTAAYCTCATGTCCCAAGTRTTAYGAACTTTCKGATYCTGCTCTAAAATACAAGTAAAAATTTTGGATMACAAAAACTAAAGCGTAAACTAAATAGTCRCATGTATCACACAACTGTATCTCATCTCCTAAATCGTATCACACACAAAAAGCTCGARAAACCTATCCAATAYTGCCTTCTATATATGTATAAGTGGACAGGACTCTCTCGACCAACCCAAARCATGCACACCTTTAGGATCCACTCGACCAACTCAAGGTWTATACACCTCTAATCCGACCCCTRCATGCAGAGTAACTCTAGTCCTACTGACATATAGAYRGACCWGKCCCTACTCACTCATTTCCTCYTGGTTCTGCCTATATAGCTGAGCCCTACCCCCATCTGGAGCTCGCTCTACCACTYGRCCCCGCCTATCATACATCTTCCCACCACTCTCTGTCACCTTCCCAACTGCCTTGTCCTTGAGGAACTTTGGACACTCAAGGGCTCGGTGTATGTCATGCTTGCAGAAGAAGCACTGATCATCTGACCTCCTTTGGTACCTCCTCTTCTTCTTCCGGGATCCTGGCGACGATGGTACCTCACTGTCCTCCCTGCTCACCTCATGACTGTGGGGCATGCTCCACGACTCCTCTGGCCTCACCCCCACTGCCTGGGTACTCGGCCCTACTCACATTTCATCTCCCTCAAGCCCGTACTCAGGAGTATCCAATCTTTGTGGCCTACACTCGTGGGCCCCCTCCATCACAGTCACCCTCTCGTCCCTCTGAGGTCATGAAGGCTGAGGAGTCACGGTTGCCGCTGGTTCACTCATAACCTCCTCCTGCTGCTCTGAAACACATCCTTGGGAGCTAGCCTCTTTGGCCCAGGAGCCCAATTGTGTCCTCAACTCCCCCACTTCCGGTACATGCTCTGAGGTTTCTCGTCTCTTAGGCCCCCCTGATGGCACATCTAGTTCCATGGCTGCCACTAGCTCATCCAAGCGCGATGCCTCCTCCTCCATTGCCTCCAGCTCAACGGACGCCACTGCCCCCGTAAGGGTATCTCCCCGCACCTCCAAAAGAATCGTAGGGGACTTCTCTGCGGGACCCCCTTCCGCTAGTGGAGATTGGGGCCTCTGTGCTGACTCCTCCGCAGGGGTCTCAATCATCATAGGGGTCGCCTGTTGCGAGGCTAACTCTGTGGGATCCTTGAAGCTGAAATTCTTCTCTCCGACCTTCCGCCTCGCTTCCGCTTCCGCTAGATCCAGGAATACCTTCTTCATCCCTCCTTGCTAAGGTGGCTCTGCCATCTCTCCGTGGCCAAAGAGTCCCCGCACCTCCTCTCCCTGGATACCATATCGACTCTGTTATGTCCAGTCGACCACCTYGGTGGCCGAAAGTCTCTCCACTGCTGCAGCCATATCTTGGAGCCTTTCCTCCCATTCARCTTYCTTGGCTTCCATATGAGACTTYCARGCTTGGTTTTTCGCCTTCTCTTCTGCTAGCTGGGTAGACAGGTGCTCCACCTCCAACCTTGAGGCCGCCAGCTCATCGCTAAGCATGGTGTATCGCTGGAAAGACGTGGTCGCCGCCTGGCGTATCCTTGTGTCCGTACACTCAATCGCCATCCTGGCGGCTAAAAATCCAAAATCTCTAGTCTCTCGTGCCTCGTCCGCCCTCTTGTCCTCCTGTCCTGCCTCTTGTGACCTCAAACGGACGACATCCCTCTTATCCCCGTATCTGGTCCATGCCTCGCCAATCCTCTGCTCACTGGTCCCGGGATCGACCGGCGGTGTCGATACCTCTCCCGCAGCCTCCATCCTAACGTTTTTCTCATATATCTCAGCGATGCACGCCTGCACCCTCACGGACTTTTCCTCAGCTGTCTCCCCTGATGGCCTCCCTACTCGCGCCTCGTGGACCTCTCGCAGCGGGACTCCCACACTCACTCCCTCCTCTGCAGGCGGCAACTCTGGCGGTGGCTCCTCGGATGCCGGCATCTCAGTATCCAAGTGCTCACTCGTACGCTCGGCTGGCTGCGAGGCGACAGTCGTACGCGCCCCTGCCCTCTCACCCTCCTCGAGTTCCTCTAGCTCCGCCCTCTCTGTGGGTGGAGTGATAGCCTCTAGAGGGGGTGCTGAAATCTCCTCACTATCTGGCTCAGGAATGCCCTCTGGCCAGTGCTGTCGTACCTGCTCCGGGATTGAGATATGAGGTGGGGTATCGTGCCCAACGGTGATAACCTCCTCTGTCCGTAACTCCCCTGGCTCGCGCGGCTCAGTCTCTCGCCCGGGTTCTTGTAGCTCTTCCGCTGGCTCGTACCGTGCTGGTCCATTCGGATCCGCTCCCAACTGCGAAGCTCCCCATTGAGACGCATCGAGGTGAACCTCCAAACTCTCCAGCGGTGCTCCCAATGGTACAACCTCTCTCTCTTCTGGCAATTTTGGCGACGGGCCCCGTAAGTCACTGCCCTTGATCTGGCGAAACTCCACCTGCTCAAGCCCATGAGTAGGTGGTGGCCCCGCTGCCTGGAGTGGCTCCGCCGGCTCCTCCTCTCGCCGTGCCAAAGCCTTTCGGCCTCCCCTAGCCGCAGCGGCCCCTCTCACCTCCGGGTCCCGTGGCCTCTTGCTTTTCTGCCTCCTCTCAACCCTGGGCTCGGGCCTCTCTGGTTCTGGCTGTCGGAATGCCTGCCTCAGCTGAGCCTGACAGTCCTTCCAATCCCACGCTCTATCCAGAATCTGCCTCGCCAATGGCCTCTCCGCCCTTCGCGTCCAGAGGGGCAACGTCTGCATCCACTCCTCTTGCCCAGTCCCCTGATCGCGCATATACTGCTCGTAGGCCGGGATGAACTCCTCCTCATTGCCTTCCTCCAGTCGAATAGGCAAACCATCCCGTCCCAGCGGCGAAGCCCTCAGCCTCTGCATCCTCGCCTCCACATCCTGCCAGGTCAAAGCCTYCTCTCGAATGTGCGCGATAGGCTCCTCAAAACRCCCAACTCCTCTCAGATTTTGTATCCTTCCTRRGTAGACCATCCCTCTCGTGCCGCATGARCCTGGTAGGCGTCCAGAAAGAGCTCCACATTATCATCGTCGAAGACAGGCGTGGACTCTCTCCCAACTAACCTGCGCTGACCATCTCCTCCAGACGCTCCCAGGGGCCTCTGTCGTGGCCGTGCGCCCCTCCYGTCCCTCTGCATGGCTGTCTTCGAAAAGTCAGACCTGCACATCAGGCGASAGAWAGCAGACAGGYACACAACAAGGTCAGTCATCAGTCCATCAAGCCTTCGACAACGCATATATCCTTACCCCTTTCCATCCTCTGCCCARCCTAACCAGGACATGCGACACCTTAAAACAAGGGTTTATTTTGAGAGGTTTAGACTTCTTTACCTATTYCCTGGCCACGAACTTCTTTAATCTGGTCCYTRATACCCAATCCTGCCATCCTGTTCYGTCCAGCTCCTCGATCTGGTAAGCMCCAAATTCGCCGCACCGCAAGATCCTATAGGGCCCCATCCACCTTTTGTCGAGTTTCCTCGACCATTGTTTTTCCAAGGAGGAGTCATACAACAATACGACATYCCCGACTKCCAGCGGCTACTTCCTTACTCGTGCCATTTGGTCCCATTGCATCTTATCCTYCATGCGGCTCCTCTCTACCTGACCGGCGGCCTCTCGCAATCTCWCTTCARCAGCTCCCAYTTGTCGTGCCCGCATATCGAGCAATTCCTCGAACGACAAATTAACCTCCAAGTCTTGRCRCCTCCAGGTCTTAAAAAAAAAWTATATRGGAAAGGTGGCATGTCTCCCATACCATAACGTGGCTGRCGCRTACTTGGTGGTTCTCTTCACCGTGACATTCTCCACGAAGAAGGCCGCTCGCAGGAACTTCGGSCACTGACTAGGYTTGCCTTTTGTCCACTTGGCCAAGAGGTTCGTGATKGTACTGTGCCCCCTCTCCACAGGTTCGTTCGCTTGGGGATRTGCAGYGGTAGTATAATTYGCCACTACACCATACCCTGCGAACAAAGTCCGCACCTCATTGYAGGTGAACTTCGACCCTCGATCCATCACGATCTCTTTGACAAATGGATAACGTAAGTAGTACTCTTCGATGCAGCTTGCMAAAACTRGGCCGGTCTTCRTACGAATAGCCCGACYGTCCACAAACCCARTAAGGTTATCCCGCGCATCGACGATGTAGTTGCATGCATTCTCCCCAGCTGGCATGAAAAGCAAATCCAGATGTACAACCGCACCCACTTCTCTCTCTAACCTTGGGTGCAGAGGTTCCCCTGRCCTTTGCGCCGACCTCTCTTGACAAGGTACACAGGACTGRCARTATTTGATGACCATAGTCAGCATCCCATCCCAATGGTACAGTTCGCTTATCTTTGCAMACGTGGCACCTATCCCTCTGTGCCCCCCTGCTATACCATCGTGTAGGGCTGCTATWATATYGATCTGCCGGTTCCTCYCACATACAATCCTTTTGGGGCTCCCGACCTGTCGCTTTAKGAACAGATGGCCATCTCTTACCACATAGAGGTGCCTTATCTTYTGCGCCTTGGCACTCGCGTCTCTATCCCTCATCTCACAAGACAAGAGTAGCCCCARCYCCAGGTAGATTCCATCGTACTCTTCTGCCYGAAAGRCTTCCTTGATCTCTCCTTCCTTGAACTCATYATCTCGACTTTCAGGAATGAAGTCCTCACTTTCYATAGGACTAAATGAGTTCTTTCGATCAAAGTYTCCTTGCAGAAGCGTGTTAGTGAGTAGGTACATTCCTCCCATCAGCTGCTYATGCTCCTCTACCTKAGTTGGGCCTTCCTCTATCGTTCTCACTTCCTTCGCCAAGCTGTGTGTRCCTGCCAATGCSAGCTTSATCATCCAATGAACATCTCTTCTTCCCCACGGATCCTCCTCCTGAAAGGGCTTGAGGACCAACTCCTSCTTTTGCTCGTATCCYTTAGGCGCTAGCCATATGGGGTGGCCGACGCAACTAGGCACTCGTAAAGACCACTCATTTAAATGAAGGCGRTCATCTTCTTYTTWATCMAAAAACCCRTCAACTGGCGGAGTGTCCTCTATCGACTCCTGATCYGTCCCATCCCAGTTGATACGGCTCAACCCATCTGTCCTGTTCTTGTCCYCTGGAATTCTTTCCAGCTCAAAGTTAAACATCCAAATGYACGTCAACCATCTTGYGAYGGTTGRGTCAGATGGAGTATAGTTCTTCAGGGAAYAGGCRAGTGTCGTGGGGTCCACCCTTAATATGAACCTTYTACCAAAGACATAGTTCCRGRAGATCCTCAGGCAGTGGAGCACCGCAAGCGTCTCCTTTTTGAACTGGGAGTAGTTCCTCTCAGTCRTATTAAGAGTCCGACTCTCGAATCTTAGCGGSCTCTCCTTCCCTTCAGCATCCGCTTGAACKAGAACTCCTCCCAAKGCAKTAGGTCTCGCGTCCGTCTCGATGATGARTGRYTTCTCCTSAGTRACTTYSTAGTTTGGCGCCCCTAACACCAGACCTCCTTCTGTGAACTCCTCKTTCATTCSMTTCACAGCCTCTTCCTGATCTCCACCCCAAACYCATTCCYGATCCTGACGTACCAGCTTCCTTAAATGCTCAGTCTTGGCGGCAAAGTTCTTTACGAAACTCCTCCAGAATCCGCAAGTGTCGAGGAAGCTCCTTACATCCGTTATCGAACGGAAGGGTACTGGTCATTCCACGATTTTGTCCGTCTTCTTCACTTCAGGCCTCCGGCCGCTCTCATTGCAGACAAAACCCAGAATGGTCGCCTCCCTCATACAATGCTTAGACTTCGGACCACTTGCTGTGAGGTTGTACTCTTCCAACAGGCTCAGGACTTGATCAAGGTCCTGGACGTGCTTCTAAACAAAACGCCTTACGCTGGGCATCACTTCATCTTCCTCCCTTTCTTTCGGGCCTTTAACCGCCAAGTCATCGATATAAGGCTGGGTGATGTGTGGACTAACCATTTGCATGGCTCTAATCATATGCCTTTGCATCATTGCCACTGCATTCGTCCAGCCTTGAGGGGCTACGGTCATATGAATTAGCCCTCTGGCGTATGCATCGTCGTCAAAGGCCTCTCCGGCGGGTATACGGGAAACTAGTCATACCCAGAGTAAAGGCCTATAAGCGAAATTATAGGCCTTCCTCACATGACTCTGACAATGCGTCCGCGTTTGGCAACCCTCCCGCATCCCCCACTGTCGCGACATTTAGCCGCTGTAAATCCTGCACCCACCGCAGCGCCCCATTTGGCTTAATGAAGCAAAACCAGGAGGAAGTGTACGACCCGTTGGAATAGTCAGCAACATTCGTACGCATCTTGCTATCCAGGTAGTCCACCACCATCTTCTCCTCGTCTTGGTTGGGATACCGCACGCCTCTCAGGTTCCACGGCTTTGGTGGGACCGGGTGGATCCGAATCATCGGGACCTTGTCCACATCCAGTCTTCCACGCCGATCGTCGTTGAATGCATACGCGCGGTGCCTCTTCTTCATCAATCCCACCATCAAAGCTCTCTCTTGGGGCGAAAGGAAGTCGAACTCTCCAATTATCAGCTTCCCTTCGTTCTCATCGTTGATAAGGCACGGACCACTGGCTGCCTGCTCTCGCATACGCCGTATCAACCCTCGTTCCCGCTCGTAATAGGCCTCCTCGTCTTCAATAACGAGCACGGGAACTGGGCGGCACTTTTTGTCTACCGTTTTGTACCGCCTTTGGGAGCCCTGCTGAAGTCGTTCCCTAAAAAAGGTCGGCTTGCCGTTTGTGCCTGAGCCATTGTCGGGCCTCCCCTTCCGCCTGGAAACCGATAGACCAGCTCCACCTCTCCCACATGAGGGCTCTCCAAAACTTGCTCCCTCAGCGCTCTAATGGCTTCTGGATCTGCCATGTCGTGCGCTGTCACCACTTCCATAGCCTTATTGACATCAGTAAGGCTTAATGTCAACACCTCGGCCCCTCCTTCCTCCTCAGACACTTCCCAGAGCCTCCTCCGCTCGTTCTCAAACTCTTCAAAGGTAAACGATCCATGGTTGGGCCTGCTCCTCCCACTCCCTGGCCCCGTGTTCCGGCAGGTAATGACCTCATAGTTCCCGCAGGCCGGATCGCACAGGAGTAGGATCATCATTCCATCATATTTGTTGAAAATCAGGGTCTCCGTGCGGCACAGGAACGATCTCCTCAGGAGGATGGAGTGGTCGACATCTGGCATGACGAAGAAGCAGGTCCTCGCCTGTACTTTCCCAATCTCTATAATCACATTAGACGCCGTACCACAAAAGGCCGCCTTGCAGTTGGCGCCATGCAGCWTACCATGSTCTRCGTGATCAATTTACATTCCCAACATCATCGCCTCCCTCTCCCTGATGATGTTCATCTCTGCGCCCGTGTCCACCATCCCGGTACACTTCTGGTTCTTTACCACCAAATTCACCTGGCCACACGCCACACACTTCCAGTCCATCCTCGTCCCTGCCTAAGTCCATTCTACCTCTCTTGGCAAGATCGTGCTCAGGTGGACGTTGGGCACTAACCTTCGCGAGAGCCGCCCCTTCAATCCGTCACGGAGCCTTGGCGCTGAGGCTAAAATATCCTTTAACTTCATCAGGTCATTATGACCTTTCAGAAGCCTGTCAACCATTCGCTCCACATCGAAGCCTTCTTCCAACCGAACTGCATACTTTTTCTTCTTGGGTACGCTGTCAGGCAGGCTTGGCTCGGCTTCCTCTTGGGCCCTTCTTTTCTTGGCCCTTAGCTCCGCCGGCCGGTCCTCCTCTTGCCGGAGCCTCTCATCCTCCTCGTCATCATCCTCTTCCCCTTCTTCTGGGACCTCCACCACCTCCTTCCTATGCCCGGGCTCAGGCTCCTTTCGAGGAGGTGCCTGACTGGGCGCTTGGCTAGGCTCTTGGCTAGTTCTAGCCTTATTCWGACTCCTRGTCMGCGCCGCYTGTGGCACTCTTCCATGCGATGTGGGGGGCCTGTAGGTCATGCCCGACCTAGGGCCCGCCCCCACGGTCRCAACCCTTGRGTATCCCTGCTGCCYTGATGAGGGTTCGGKCCCGGAGTCATACAGGAAGACTCCGGGGAGGTTGGCCTCCCACTCCCGGGTCTCGTCACACAAGGCCTGCAGCCTCTGCTGGTATCTGCCCACTTTCTCCARCAGATCCTCCATCTTCCCCAAGATGATTATGGGGAATTTTTKGCCGACTCTCTTTCACCTTCCTGCCCCTCATCATCTGACTCAACGRCTATCGACTCCTCCTTTATAGTCYCTKCCTTTAGCYGYTGAGTTACCTCCTCACTTTCTCCCACAATCTCCTCGACCCTTACGGCCRGGTCCTCTCTCTCCTGCCACATCTTGAACATGGYTGGGGGTGCTGGCCCTGCCACCGMTCGCSTTTGGGCCTCCTGCTTGACTCCGCCGGGTGGCTTCGGGTCAATATACTTTCCATATTTGTCGTGTATATCTCTATCCATGTTGGTGGAGATCAACCCGGAGAGCTCATCCGCTGCCCCTGATATCCGCCTTTGGGCTGGGGTCAAGCACGTCCGTAACGATCCTCTTTACCCCCGGGATCCCAGATGCGGTGACGTCCCTTTCCTTTCTCTTTCGCCTCTGTAGCCGCATCTAGTGTTGCTCCACCTGGTCCAAACTCCCCTCCTCCACTCCTTTATCAATGGTGGCCCAGGTGAGCTTCTCACTTCCTCCTCCGTGACTTGTCAATTCCGAAGCTTCCGTGCCAGTGAGCAACCCCAAGAAGATGGCACATTGTGCCTCTTCAGAAATCCTGTGCACCTTTCTTGCCTTCTTCTTAAACTCATACACGAACGCCCCGATCGTGGTAAAATCATTTTTATTCATGGCTTCCAAATCAGCCATAGTCAGCAGGCCATCCCCCAGCCTGTACTTCCTTAACATTCCCTCCCTGAATCTCCCCCAACTACCATTGGCGGCATCCACAACCTTGCTTACTTCCTGATGGTGGCCGTGAAGGACATATCTCATGATCCGCTGGAATTTCACTTCATCTGACAGCCCCACCAGCGCCTGCTCAACCAGATCCAGCCAATCGGAGACCCATTCCCCTTTGAAATAGAACGCGTCAACTTTCGGAACATTGCTCGGCGCCCTCTCACGCTTGTCCAGGGCCTCGACAAGATCGTTGAGCGTCAGGGCCTTTCTCGGGACGACGCCTCCACCTCCTAACATCTTGGCTGACTGCCTCCCGCTCAACCTTCCTGTTAAGAGAAGAAACGGAAAGCTTCATTCAACACCTCGTCTTGACATACTTCTATCAGGCTTCCTACATCGCCCCTTATTTCCTTTTGATTCAACGGACACTACCATTACTCCCAGGCTCGTCCTAGTGAAGTCTGTCCCTAACATGAGGTTCCTTATACAGTCTTTTCAATCACACAATCACACCAACTACCAATCAAGTCCATTAGAAACCAGGTCTTTCGCGCGCATAACCAGACAAAGCACCATACCGCTCACTCATCGCCTATCCAATCATGCCTAACTCTCTCTTATTCCCAAACCTGGAAGTCGTTCCACCAGGGGCAACGGAAAGCTTCCGTTATCCCAGGCAAAGACGCCACCTGTCGAGCGCATCGGTCCGGCACCGCACCAGGGCAGCGCGAGACCCTCTCCACCATGTCACGCAGGAGTTGGATTTAAATCCTTCGTCGCTCATATCCATGGAGCTTCCGCAAGCCGCTCCGGCCGAGTGCGCCAGCCATACCTCCCGCGAGCCCCTACGACAGGATAGGGCCTGCACGAGGCACGACTTACCTCCACCTTACGGGAAATGTCACCTCCCTTCGGCAGGTGTATCCCCGCCGAGCTACCAGTCCACGGTACGAAAGCTAATCAGTTGCAATCGCAGAGGTGGACCATTCGAGGGCGTTTCTCGTTCGCTGTAGCATAGGGGGTACGCGCGGTAGTACGCCTCTACCGGGCCCGCACGCGAGCCGACATCTTGGAGGGCTGAAGTCCGCGGCCCGTCGTCGGTCGACTAGGACGTATCCCACTCACCACGCATACACCACTTCATAAACACAAAAATAAAACTCACACACACACACACACACATCGAACATCCCATAACTTTCCGGTGCGGAAATCGATTAGGCGGCGCGCGCGAGACTTAATATAAAACCGCGCGGATGCAGGGCTAACTCATATCGACTCGCAATGCAAATGTACGCAGGCAATCGCGATGATGGCGTACTATGTAGTGCCCATACTCATGGGGCCCTGGGTAATAATCGAGGGTCACCTTCGACACTCAAGTGTCGGCTGACACGCGCCTCGAAGGGGTTAATCTCTCGGTGCTAGACAACCGCCATGCGCGGTTGAAAACCACACACCCTCTTCTGCACCCTGTGCAGAGTGGGTGGTACACAGGTCCATACCTGTGGTGACAGTCGTTTCTTGCTGCCTTGGAGATGAGCCCCACTCCAGGTCTGGACATAAGTCAAGGGGTTTTACTTTGACGGCTGCCACGGACTATAACGTCCAACCATGATAATTCAAAAAGCAAAAATAGGCCAAAGATCCCCCTATCCCGGAAAATTATAACCTTAGGTACCCCTTTTCGGCTGGTACCAACGACCTATAATAATCCCAAACATTCGTGCTTACATGCGAGTCCCTTAATCCCATAACCTTTAGACACTAGGTCGGTGAAACGTCGCGCGCAGGGTTTGACATAAAGTCGCGCGGTTGCAGGTCAGCCTAATACCAACTAACAATGCTAGTCATATGTGGTAATCGCGGCTCCGGCCTCGCGATATTGAATGGCTGAAGGACATGCCGTTCAGCCCTCGCGACACTTCCGCCTTCAGGGTTGGGTGTCTCGACGGGCAGAGTAAATAGGCTCTGCGCGAAGGGAGGTCCCTTCCCTGCAGAGTCGAGGGCTTGGGATGTCCTGGACAAGGATCTTGAACCCGGCCCAGGACCAACGTCCGACCAAGAAACTCCTAAGAAGCAGATTACCAAGAGGAGGGGTCTTCTTTATTCTCTCAATCTCAACCCCTAAATAGGCCTTTAGTAAGCGGCCCCTCAGGCCACGCGACCATCCAACATACGTACATGCATACATATACATATATAAAGGAGATAAGTATGAGACGACCACTTCTCACAATCACAGTGGGACTTCCTCACAACCATATGTATACATGTGATCGCAGACAATCAAAATTCAGAATCTGAGCCACAGGATATACCTGCAATCACATCAGAGAGTCAAACAATAGTCAACGCACTACACGGAGTCAACCCCAACCATTCTCTGCACTCATACCCCTCGCTTTAGCCATCCAAGCCCCAATCTCCTATCTAACCAACCATAATTAAATACTTAGTACGTTTGTTAAATGGCCATTCAATAAAAGTCCGGGTGAAACCTTAACGAAACAACAAAGATCACCAGGGCTAAAGCCTTTTAGGTTGAGTATGGGGAGTGAGTTGGAATTGAGTCGTAAACCGACGAATCATTAACCGACCTGTTATCAGTGATAACAGAAGATGATCCTCGTGGGATCGAGCTGAATCTGGTCCAGATCCTGAATCAAATGATCAAGAGGACCTGTAACACATGACAGATCAATCCCCAAGCTAAATTTATGAGTCATTGGAGGGTAATCACGATCTCACTCCAAACTTTACCTAACTAACTAAGCTTAAATCTATCCTTAAGCAGTATCCAAAGCAAAGGCAGACTTTGGCAGAGTCTCCCCTATACAGGGTGGATCGTCAGAATCGCCACCCGTCAAAATATAACCTAGCAGCTTTAAACTAAGAAAACATTTCCCCAGCGCTTCCCATAGGAGAAGTGTCTTTTCAGAATTTATATCAACCCAAATATAAAACAAAAACTAGTCGTTGACTTTCCAAAGCTCAATTTTGTCTAACTCCCTGAATTAGCAAAAATTTGGGCAACACTCCTTTTAAAAAAGAAGACCTTCCAGATTTTTACTAAGTCATGTATGAACTTTAGACAAGTTGAACTTTGAAAAGTCAAAAGTTGACTAACTCCTTGGATTTGCAGAAATTTCGGCAGCGCTTCCCGTAGAGAAAGTAGCTTACCAAAATTTATACAAGGCCAAGTATAACAAAAGATCACAGAAAATGCGAGAATGGATCTAAGTAAAATAAAGTTTAGCTCAGAAAATGCAGGAATTGAAGCTAACTCTTATCGCTCTAGCACGTGACGAGCCTCTAAAGGAACTCCCTGTCAAGCTGAAACTCAGACCAAGTAGTAGCCTCACTCAGTCACATGCAGGTCAAACCACAAAGGTAAGTACTCTCGTCATCCCAGGGTCAAATCAACAGACAATAGTTCATAGTTTTTCAATGATTTACCCCTTTATACCCTGCTTACATAAGGCGTAAAGTCAGGTCATCCAATCTTATGGAACATGCCTGACTCAGCCATCAAGTATCCACGAACAGGTTGCACAACTACTTTTCTCTTCCTTTGGGCACATGATTAAGCCATTCATCTTAGAAACAATGCCTAGTCGCTCTGAACTGTTTAATATCCAAATTATATATATATATTTGAAATTAGTGTTCAAAAGCTGGGCGTAGGACTGAGCCATTCATCTTAGAAACAAAGCTCAGCCTAACCAAAGTTACCTTCAGTTATATTCTTAGTATTACTTTCTTCAAGTTTGTGATAAGCTATAGTCAAACCACCCAATCTTATGGCACCCTGTGTGACCAGCCTGTTCTTAAGTACAGTAATAATAATATATAGCCAAATTATAATCTTTTGGGTTTCAGCATGTGYGAGGCATTGTGTCAGAACATCCAATCTTATGGAACATGTCTGGTCCTCTGCCACGTTCATTTCTCTCTGATCCATCTGTGTGCGGCATGAGTCCAAAACCATCCAATCTTATGGAACATGCTTTGTCCTCAGCAGAAATTACTCCCTCAAAATAATACAAACAAAAGAGTTGAGCCATTCATTTTAGAAACAAAGTTCAACCCTCTTTTCTCAGCACAAAAAAAAACAGAGTACTCTAAGTTAAACCCAGAGACTGTTCTGAAACCACGCAAAAATAAACAGCGACCAAACCATCCAATCTTATGGAACAATGTCTGGTCCTTAAGTTAGCACAACCAAGCCCCACAAAGAAAACAGCCAGGCCATTCATCTTAGAAACAAAGTCTGGTGAAATTAAATAAACACAACGGCCAAGCCGTTCATCTTAGAAACAAAGTTTGGCCCTTTTAGAAAAACAGAACAAACACAATAGTCAGACCATCCAAACTTATGGAACCATGCCTGACTCTATAAGACTCTTCTTGTCGCAAGCAAAACCACCTTTCTCCCACCCTTCCCCCAGATGCAATCCCTTATTACAATCTGCTTTCAGACAATCAAGGAAGCTGAAACTGCCATTGCAAACGCATTCCTTTACTTAGCCTGATTTTTGTCCTGAAAGTCAAACAACAAGTCAAAATAGGGATACACTCCATACACCCAGTCAGAACACGCAATGGGTAGTACAACTAGAGGCTATACATGCGTCTATAGAGGGAAAGCAGTGGTTACCTCTCAATTCCCTGCCTCCATAACCTCTCCTGAGTTCCGGCAGAGCTCCCGCAATTGGTGGGTTGACTCCCCACAGAGTCTTTCCGCGGTCCTACGGGTTGCAATCCCGTCTGCCGCCTTCCTCTCAGATCAAGACTACAGTTAGAGAAGAAGGGCAGAAGGAGAAAGTTTAAGTCTCCCAAATCCAAGGAGGGTGCTCTGAGAACCGCACGGGAGGGCCTTGATTCCTTGATTCGCCTGAGGGCCCCGCAATGGCGGCCGAACCGTAACAACTTGATCAGATCGAAGTCACACCGCTGAACAACTCCCCTCTAACGAACTCCCAAGTCGCGACACTAACCCCCTTTGTCACTACTCTAAACTGCAACAGCAGCCTTCCTTGTCGTCCAGTCACCCTGCTAACACCGCATGTCCGCCTCCCAAAGTGAAGCCGCAGCCATATGGTCCTCAAGATGACCGCAACCAAATTTTCTGCGGCAGCCTGCAGTAATCCGGTCGAGGCCGTAGCAGAAAACGCAGCTCGAACAGCAAAGTACACAGCCACCACCGAGGTAGGAATTCCACCGGAGCAGTCAGCGGAGTGCGCCGCAACGAGCCTCAAAGGCCTAACAGTGCGCAGTGCCGTGAGCGTATGGTGGTTCACGCGCCCGTGCTGGCAATAGTACAATAGCCCTCCAACAAGTTTAGCCCCTGCTACTGCTGAAATGTGGCTGGCGCGAGCGTTTGAACGGAGCACGACGGGGTTAGCAAGCCCTGAAGTAGCCTGCAGCAGAA